TTCGTACATAATGATTCGCAATAAACCTTTTCTGAATTGTTCATCAAGTCAATAATTTATTCTAAAATAAGACTTACTCATGCAATTGATATTTGAACCAATCTACAATAGAAAACAAAGTCATTTATTTTCTATAATAAAACTTGCCCATGAACTTGTTATTTTATTAGTTCGAGAAAATAAAAATGCAACCATTTGTTTTAGTATATTTCTTAGTGCAACTACTATGAGGGTGTGGCTCCAGAGAAGACCCACATCCCATCTCGTGCTTATCAAACAAATATTTGTTCTCAGTGCCTACTGATAGACGTTAAAAGTAATCCTTGCCACATCGTTTTTCTATCTCATTGCGGCAAGGGACACAATGTGTTACATATTTAATTGCGTATCAGGAAAGAGAGGTCAAGGTCAATACTAAGTTTATTGACTAGACATGACAGATGAAAGAAACAACATAAAGAGTAACAATAACCTCAAAAAGACGTGAAACCGATATGGATTTGTTTTTATCGATATTGGTTGGAACTGCTAGACTAGCATAAGTCATTGTTCATTTTTCTCATCCTATAAAAGTCAAGCCAAGACATTGATTAGTCATATTCATCTCTGAATCACCACGATAACGACGTAAGGCTCCTATTCTCTACTATGATTCTTTTTACTATTTATTTGTATCTATTTTCTCTGTCTTGGTATCTGTCGAAGAACAGAAAATTTCATAACACTACAAATTCTGTATTAGTTGTGTACATTGATTAACTGCTTGTCAAACATAGAGATGGTTACCATTTAATAAACTTACTTTGTTCTCTCTTATGTCTTTGCGAAATATATGCTATAAATAACAGGAAATACACATAAATTCGTGAAGAACTATAATAAGAGTTATTAGAATTAATTTTGATACCATAAATTCATGTCAAAGCAAATTGATCACATACATTAAGTATATAATGATGCATTTTCACTTCATCAAAATACTCTGATGTGTGTCTTCATAGAAATAGTCTGCGATACTAGTAAAACGTGTATAACTAGCGAAAAAATACTTATATTATCAATTATTTTGAAAAGAAAAGCAACAATTGAAAATAATCTAGGCCCATCATCCACACAGAAAAACATACGGATACCGCACGTAAGGATTTCTCTACCGGATCGAACAGAGCGTTTATCATTATTAGTTATAACTCTGATGTCAACGACCGACTGTAACAAAGATTGCTATATTCTAAACACTGCTCCAATTGATTGATCAATGCACCATGAGTTCACTCATCTGATAAATTGGATGCTGACGAAAGAAATTTGCCTGAGAGAAGAAATAAGGTCATTGGTAAAATCAGCTGTATGCATTCTTTCTCACTTGTTATATATAGATTCGATCCATTATTCTCAGATCCTTAATGAGAAACAATGATTTGGCCCGAAGCGGTCTACGTTGTGGTACATCGTAATATAACCTTGTGCCATCGATGATATCAATTTGACTCATATTTCTATAGTAGGCATATGTAAAAAATTTAGGAAGCACCATCAAATCTTAGTCTAACGGATGAGTTTTTCCGGTGATACAAAATCTGCAACACTAAGCACCCAGCTACATTTTCAGAGCATTCAATTGCAATACTTCTCAAAACATATAATTTTTCTATACAATGATAAAAGTGTAAGTGTGTATGAATAGAAGACCTATGTCAGAACGCCAAAACACAAGAAAATTAAAGAAGAAAAGGAAACGAAGAGACGCGGGCGCGTATATGAAGATAAAAGTCATCTAATAGTAGTACAATCAGTCGATATGGTATTGATAATAGCCTAACTCATTGAGTACAGTTTTATCGATTGTGAATATTGTCAAAATTCTCGTTCTAACGCTCAATAAAATGATAACAACGGTTGCCATTGTCGTTATTCGGAATAGCACTACAAATATGGCACACGCACATTGCCTGACGAATGATATCCATTGGGCTCATATCAGCGCACTGCGCAAAAAAAATTTGAAATTTATGGGAACTCAACGATATTTTAGAATTTCTTGTACAATTTCAAAATTTCGTCATCTCTGCGATTCAGAGTGCATATTCAAAGTGTCCGAATAGCTGAGAATCATTTCTGCAAATCATGCCAAGTGCCTGTGGTGTAGTGGTAACATCGTTGTCTGTCCAACAGCAGCCGCAGGTCAGAGTCAGTCGGAAATAGTGCGACTACTTCTTTGATCGTGAGCGATTCGCTTCATATCAGACTCCCTCATATATGAATAATATTATTCGATTCCTGCCTGGCACGTTCCGCTCTTTTTTTCTTGTTTTTCTTTCTGTTTACTTTTGCGGTGAGTAACTCTCATGTGTCGGTTGCGTATACATGTTGTGCAAATGAAGAAATAAGGATAATATTTTCAAAAATATGAGGAGTTTTTTTTGTGAGGTTTCATCTTACTTAGGGTTGACCAAAAATTCTAAGCCCGATGTTTGAATGATCTTGTCGAATAAAGTAACCTATTCAGAAATGAAAAATCAAATATACAATGTTGTAAAGCTTTTTGAGACGAGTCGAATGGTATATAGTAAATCCTAGTTTCATAAGATTTTGAAGGAACTAGAGTCAACTTACTGATAGTCGACTGTACACCCACACCCAAGCATGATAAGTTAGTGAACATTGTGGTCCTTGGTATTAGTCGAGAGTATTTATAAAATATTTTTTCTCACATACGATTTTGTAGAGTTTTTGATGGACTACAACCTCATATACGTAGCATCTCCGGTCATCTTGTGGCTATGGGTATGTAGTCGTCTATCAATAAATTGACTCTAGTTTAGGGGCGTAGCCACGGGAGCGGGGGGAGGGGGGTGTTTCTTTTCTTTTTACCCAATCCCACACACGCTTGCTTCTCACCTTCTTACTCGTTCTAATATACTCCGATGGCATTCTCTTTCTCTTTTCTTTCTATTGTTTTCTCACATAAATAAAACTGTCGATTCTAAACGAGAAGCAACTTACATCTTCGGATATATATTCTCACAAGATTAACATTTCTATATAACAATAAAGTGTATTCCAAACTTGTCTGAAAGAAGAAAACAAATTTTCATTTGAAAAAAAACCTCAGC